AGTTTCTCACTATAATTTGGATTCTCACAGTCCGGACGTTTCTCATACAAAATTTTGTTCAGACTAAACATCAACCCAAAAAATAAAGTCACACTTGTTTAAGCAGTATCAGGGAGTGACAAATTATCACTATTTTAGACGCTGAAGCTTTTGTTGCAACCCAATCCACACATTCAAAAGTCGCCCTGAAGCTGATCACACCCGACGAGCTCGAGAAAATGAAAGCAGATCTTGGATTGGAGGATATTTGCAGAAATAATCCATTGCAAATTAAAAACATTTCTAAATATCACTGCTTCAAGGTCGACTTTGATGCAGTCCAATATCAAACATGTTCTTCTTTTGATCAAGAAGAACATGTTGATTTTTTGATTGATGATGAAGAAGTAGAAGAAGAAGAGCAATTTGACGTTCTGATGGATGATGAAGAACAGGAAGATGTTCTGATGTTTGATCATGAAGAACAGGAAGATGCTTTGTTCGACCAAGAAAAAGAAGAAGAACAAGAAGAAGATGACGATTGTGATGGTATTTTGGCAAATAATTTCCATGACTATGGTCCATGGAGCCAATTCCAACACAATTGCTCAATAGAAAATAAATAATAGTTGGTTCATAGACTCAGTTATTTCAATAAAATACTGAGATTCATAGACCGACTCAATAAATAATAGTTGGTTCATAGACTCAGTTATTTCAATAAAATACTGAGATTCATAGACCGACTCAATAAATAATAGTTGGTTCANATTTAAGCGAAGTTGTTCGCTTGTCCATGACAACACCCAATAAAAGAAAGGATCAGAAATTTCTTCGATTTTTGTGAGGGACTGAGACGAAGACAATTTCAATTAACAATCAATTTAATTTGAGAATCAAATTTGGTGTTAATTAAGACTCTCTCAGTCCCAAGTTTCTTTTCGAGTCTTTGAAGGTTTTCATTGGCAATCTTGAGAAGCTTCAAAACATTTTCAAAGTCAAGATTAATGACAAAAGTTTGAAACTTAATTATTCAAACTCACCTTCATTGTGTCGTTACATTGTTGTTGATTTGTAATCAACTCGTTGTTGATTTGTAATCTTAAGATTAATCGTACTTTGTGTCTTTCCTCGTCCAAAGCTTCCAATGCCTCTTTTCAAGCCAATAACGTCTTCTTTCGTTGGGTTTCAGTCCCTTCCAACTTCGCCTCACTGTCATGAAGTCCGCATGTTGTTGCTGCCCATTTATCTAATTGAATTCCAGAATCTCTTTCAAGTTCAAATTTCTGTGAAAAGAAATAAGATTGAAATTGATGTAAATATTTTTTTTTCTTGTAATAATTTACAAGCTTTTCTTCATCATAGAATCTTAATTCACAAACATTCTTCTTGTCTTTAGTTTTAACATTGCTTAACTAACTTATCGATAACTTTCTAATTTGGACCTGAACTTTTTTCTCGGTCTTGAATCTGACTCATAATTCTAATTTTAGGAGATTATACTCCCTCTAGTTTCAGGTGGAGACTCCTGTGAACACGGAGAAATTTGTGAACACGGAGAAATTTTTTCATGTGCATTTTGTATGGAAGGTCAAATCCGCGCAAACCGTCGGAAATTAGACATAATAAACATGGACAAAGTGGGTACACTTTGTATGGGAGGTCAAATCCGCGCGAACGTACCAAAGTCGGAAATGATGACTGAGTACATCATAAACATGGCTTGAGCTTTCAGTTTAGTAGCTTCCTGAAATTTCCGGGAGATGTCGCCTTCGTTAAAAACTTTTTTTTGCAGTATTGAAAGGAAGATAAGATAAATTAAAATAACAACTAGATACCTACATAATAAAAACCAAAAAAATATTGAAATAAGTTTTGATAATCCCAGACATAAAACAATCTTCTCAGTAAAGATATTTTCTTATTAAAATCACCGGCTTTCCAAGTAAAAAAGTACAAACAAAAATTAAAATGGCAGCGAGTTCATCAAGAAAGCCAACTGGGAATAATGAAGATTTATCAAACATCGAATTTGAAACAAGTGAAGATGTGGAAGTTGTTCCAACATTCCAATCAATGAAATTACGTGAAGAACTATTACGAGGAGTCTACGCATATGGTATGCTTTAAAATTAAATCATCTCTTGGCTTAATATGTTTTAACCTTACAAAATATTATCTTTTTTAAGGTTTCGAAAAACCCTCTGCTATTCAACAGCGAAGCATTTTGCCAATAGTTAAAGGACGCGATGTAATTGCACAAGCCCAGTCAGGAACAGGAAAAACAGCTACATTTTCTATTGCCATTTTAGAAAAGCTTGACACCGCTCTACGCGAAACTCAAGTTTTGTGCTTGTCACCAACTCGTGAATTAGCTGTTCAGATTCAAAAAGTCATTCTCGCTTTAGGTGATTTTATGAACGTTCAATGTCACGCTTGCATTGGAGGCACAAATCTTGGTGAAGATATCAGAAAATTGGATTATGGTCAGCATGTAGTTAGTGGAACACCAGGGCGAGTCTTTGACATGATAAAAAGACGTGTACTTCGAACAAGGGCTATCAAAATGTTGGTTTTAGATGAAGCTGATGAAATGCTCAACAAAGGATTTAAAGAACAAATTTACGATGTTTATCGATATTTACCTCCTGCTACTCAAGTTTGTCTCATTTCTGCAACCCTTCCTCATGAAATCCTTGAAATGACAAGCAAATTCATGACTGATCCTATCCGGATTTTGGTTAAACGTGACGAATTGACGTTGGAAGGAATAAAACAATTTTTTGTAGCAGTTGAAAGAGAGGAATGGAAGTTTGATACATTATGCGATTTGTATGATACTCTCACTATCACACAGGCAGTGATATTTTGCAACACAAAGCGAAAGGTTGATTGGCTTACCGAAAAAATGCGTGAGGCTAATTTTACTGTCAGTTCGATGCATGGCGATATGCCTCAAAAAGAAAGAGATGAGATTATGAAGGAGTTTCGATCAGGACAGACTCGAGTTCTTATCACAACAGATGTTTGGGCTAGAGGAATAGATGTTCAGCAAGTATCACTCGTCATAAACTACGATTTACCTAACAATCGTGAATTATACATTCACAGAATTGGACGTTCAGGAAGGTTCGGTCGTAAAGGTGTTGGAATTAACTTCGTTAAATCTGACGATATCAGAATCCTTCGCGATATTGAACAATACTATTCAACACAAATTGATGAAATGCCAATGAATGTAGCCGACTTGGTTTAAAAATAAAATTCTGATTTATTAATCTTATTCACAATAACAATAATTAAAACCCTTAATTCAACATCCATTAAAATATAATTTATGAACTTTGAATTTCAATAAATATTTTAAAAGACATTTTAATATTTTCTTTATTTTTTGAATAAGAATTGTGCAATTTAAAGTTTTCTTACGTCGTGGTTCTAAGTTTCAGAATACAAGAAACTATATCTCTAATACTTTTATTATAAATTGAAAAAAAAAGCAACAGATTTCAATTAGATACTAAACTGTTGTAAAAGAGTGAAAGACATAATCGATGAAATATCTTTTGAAATTCTTTATTTTCGTTATTGACAAATTATTTTATAAGTTTAATAATTTACACAGAACTTGATTGAATAAACGACGAAAAGTATTTGAACTTTACAAAACTGATGCTTCAGGTTCGATGGACTTTCCTGATGTTTCATTTGTTCAGAATAATGAGAGTAACAACACATCAGCGGTAGTAAACTGTAATTTAATAAGATGAAAAAAACAAATGATCTTTACTTTTTATTCAATAGTTTTAAAATAATATAATGAACAAAAGATATGCAAAACTATAATTAGCTTCCAATAAGATAATATCATCTATGGTGAAGCATTTTTGCAATAAGAGAAATAAATCTTATCAGAAGTTCATTGTAAGACAATGAATTACAGAAATTTCACATATTTTCAAATAAGTTTCCTGAGTAAAATGTTTTTGTTCAGTTAAAGTGTTAAAGGTACGATACGATAGGGGTTGAGTAAAAATCACATTTCATTTTATAATCCACTTGTTTTAAGAACAGATTTTTAAGTATATATCTAGGAATATATCGGAGCCACCCCACGTGTTAAATTTTTTAAGAACGACTAGACAAGATACATTATTGATCAAATCGAAGAGAAGAAGTAAAGTGAAAAAGAAAATATTTACTCTACGTAATACTAACTTGACGTTGAATTAAATGTATTTGCATTTGATATGGGCGTTGTCAATCCAGATATCGGAGGACAATATCCATTAGCCGCAATAGTTGATGTTCCGTATGACCCGGAAACTCCTGAGTGGGGAGTTGAAGTACTGGAACAGTATCCACGAGGGCTAACACTGCTACTTTGAGTGCGATTGTACTCGTCTCCTAAAATTAATAAGTTAGATAATTAAAAAAATAATAATTTCCTTGAACAGAGTGAATAATTGGATAAAAAACGCGTCTTTCATTTCTGATAAGAAAAAATTCTAAATTGCGAAACTTTTCTTTATTCGGTTGTAACTTACATACAATAAAGTTTCTAAACAACAAAAACACATTTTCTATTTCACACTTTCTATTGCAGTACTCGTTATTAGTAGTAAAAACTATAAATTGATTCCATTTTAATGACTCATCATTTTAAGATTCAGAAAGGATAAACTGATATGGTATCTAATAAGGAAATTAAATGATGAAAATGTGATAAGTGACACGTTTTCTATTGTTTCAATATTCCAGAATTATGAATTAATTAAATTGTCCTTACCATCACCCCATTGTGATCCACTATCAGATTGAACACTAACAGCCAACTGACTAGAATAAGCGTTAAAGCCTGTCCCTCCTGATGGAGATCGAGGCATTGAATAAAGAGCCTCTGCAATATCAGCTGCTCTTTTAAGAATAATTTCCTTTGGCAACTTGTCTGGGTCTCCAGGGTGACGAGGAATAAGTTTTTGTAATCGTTGAAAGCCATAGTCAATTGTTGGCTCATTTAAAGCTAAATAAATTTACAGATAAATCATTCAATGAATTCTTTTGTGTTTATATGTACATAATAAAGAATTAATGAAAATATTAAGTAGTTCAACTTACATATGTAAACAAATCTTCCTGGCGATCCCTTACAAAACTGTTTGCTTTTGTATGATAATGTTACCTCTACAACACCTGATTAAGAAAATCATGAAATCAGCAAGTTAAAATATTTTAATTTTCATTGTGAATTATCAGAACTGCTAAGTCATAAACTATTTATATCATATAAGCTACTTAAACGAAGAATTATAATCATACACATGAAATCATATCGATATTCTTTATGTTTTCCCAATTATCTGGTATATTTTAAAGTGAATAATTATAAATTAAGCTTTCTTTATATTTTATAACAGCAGTTTCACATATATAAAGTCATATTTTTTTACTTTAGAAATATAAACGTACCTGGTATATGTCTTGGAGGTGTATGTACCCTAAAATGAAATTTAAAGTTTTTACTACTATGAATATTACAAATTAATGCATTGAACGAGAATACCTAATCTTGAAAGAATTTTAAACATTCTAGTTCGATTAAGATTTTACTAGTTTAAGTTTTCAGACTAAACAATTGTTTGAATGTACTTGACTTAAACTAATAAAACTATTTTTCAACAATAAAATTAAAAATCATTCTTACCTTATTGCATGTGTTGTAATGAGTTCACTCCATACAAGCATAGTTCCAAATATAACCTGAAGCCCCTAATAAAAGATAAAATATCCATAAAGTATTAATTAATGCTTTTAATTGTATGTTTAAAAGCTTGAAATTTGTGGAAATTAAATAAAACTTGAAAATATTGATCAAATTGATTTTTTGCTGAAAATAATACACGATTTTAAACCATATTTTAAGATTTCATGGAATGCAATGGACGTATTTTTTTCCATTCTTTTCACGCATAATAAATTACTTAAATATTGTTTTAATAATTATAATAAAATATATAAAAACTAATTTTACATCAAAAAAGTTATCTCCTATAATGATAACAGAATCCCCGCCTTTAGTCCAGCCTTCACTTGGAGAAACTGCTTTTATACATGGAGTTGCCATTGGAAGTGGAGGATATATTCCTGTAAGTGTACAAATTTTTTAGGAAATTTATTTCTTTGTGCGTAATAATAATTTTAAAAGTTTTTTCTGTCTAATATATTTTATTGTGAAACTATTGCATTAAAATAAAAAAAAAGACTTTGAAGAAGCGTGCTTACCAGTGGTTGTTCCACTGCCATCAGGATCTAATCTTTTAGCTCTTCTTCCGTGCTTAGAATTGTTGTGTACAAACATGTTATCAGAAATTGCAAGAAGTGGCCCGTCTACTACAACTTGAGTTGAAATCACAACCTAAAATGAGAAGATCGTGATTTTTACCTCCTCTGATTTTAAATTTATGAAATCATCAAGAGTCAGAAAGGAATATTTAAAAATTATGAGCCCCTTTAATTGAAGATTTATAAAACGAGAATTAAATAATAAAAAATTGAAGTTTTTGGTCTTGTTTTTAGAGATGATTTTTAATTTTTATAATTATATATTTAGCTAATGTTTTAGTTAGGTATGGTGCAACCTATTTGGAAAAAAATCAATTCTAAAGAAATCATAATCTCCTTCCCACTTCCAATGATTAAGAAGAATTTTTTTTTTGCATCGATTATTTACAAAAATACAAAATTTCATCCTTGTACATTATTTGATCTTCAAACTTTGATTGTGTTGAAGAAATTAATTACCTGGAATCTTCTCATGTCTCTTGGATTTCCAGCGTTTTTTAGACAATTTTGATTGCATTTGAGGAAAAACTTTAGAAAAAACCTTTGAAGAAACAGAAAAAAATATGATAGTCTTAAATTTTCTGAAACAAATATCTGAATAATTTAATTGTTAATGAGTTTTAAATTATTTTTTTAAAGGATACGAATCAAATCGCGTATTGTAAGTTATACAATAAGAACAGAAAAAGTTACCTATCAATAATAACTGGATCTGATGGAGTTTCATTTCTGTTCCCACAGCTTTTTTTGTCGCAACACCGACTAAAATAGTATGAAGAAGGAAATATACAAAATTAGGAACTTTAAATTTATCTTTATCGCCATTACATGGAGATTTTTAAAAGAGTGAAATAAAATGTTGTTAAAATAACTGAAATTTAAAATGTAAACATGCATATCGGGTACAAATTAATGTTGGCCTAAAGAGCTTCAAGACGCTTCAATTTTCAACTAACAAGACATTTTAAATTTCAGAAGTTTATGCTTGATTGATTGCAAAGTTTTTAAATGTTGCACACTTTTAAATATTTTCTTCTACATTTATTTTAAAGTTAAAGATTAAATGAATGAATCGTATTATTACGACACTCTCCTAGAAAGATATGATTGAATGAAGCGTACCTGCACATTACTTCATGTGTGAGAAGCACTCTGCACATCTCTGGATTTTTATCTTGACCTTCATAAATAATTGCCTGAAAATAAATAAATTCTTTCGCTTAATTTTAATTAATTATTAGTTCATTTCAGAGATAACTATAGATAAGTTCCTTTTAGAATTTTAAACAAAAAAACCCCTCAATATATCTTAGATTAATATATTTTGAATGTAGATTGTTAGTTAGTTATATTTTAACAGAAGATTTTTACAGCAACATAGACGATATTTCTATTTCCACTCTTTTACGGTAGTTTAGAAATTCTTTGAAATGCTATCAATGTCGATTAGAATTAATATGTTCACATCTATTTATATATTTATATGTTCAAATATAATTTAGAAAAAGTCCAAAAAATTCCAACATGTTTATCATTTAATGGAAAAAAAATCAGTTGAAGTAGGATTTCATCCTATTTTTATAATAACTTGTTTAATGAATTTACTAACCTGTTTTGTTACAGAATCAATTAATCTCACAAATATGTCTTGTTCCTGCCTTGCACCTGAAAAGTAAATTTAATACAGTGAAATTGATGTAAGAAATAAGAAAAAAAAACAAAAATACATAATTGAATGAGTTTAATTTAATTAAAAACCTTAATATTAGGCTAAAAGCAGAAAAAATTCCTATTCTCACATTAAAAATCACGTTTTAAATACTGAATAAATACTAAATTTAAACACTACGGTATTTAAACACTTTGGAAATACATATGTAGGTTATTTTACTCGCTAAAGTTGAAATATTAGCGAAAAAAAATCAATCGAGTGTTCGAGGTTTACAATACATTTCATGAATATACGGAAAATTCAATTTTCGCATACTTGATTACGCATTCGCGATACGTCATAAATTTTATGAGTACAAAGAGTATATCTACATATCAAGAAATTAATCAAATAATAAACATCTTATCTAACGAACCATTTGTATAAAGTAATTGTAGTCTGTACTGGATTCCATTGTTTGTTTTTTGGCCATCAGCTTCCTTAAAAAAAATAAAAGTTAAAGTTTAATTGAGTTATTGAAAATATTTATCCTACTATATCCTACTACGTCTTATATTCCATCTAGTTTTTTATTTCGTGAATCATATGTAACATAAGATATAATAGAAACCTTTGAAGACATGTGCTTACCTGATCTTTTTCTATGAATCCTATGAAAGCAGTCCTTTCGATTTCAATTGGCTGACCTGTTCGATCGTAAAGCGCAACGACAAAATGAAAAAAATTGGATTTCCTTAAGTTGGATGGTGGCTGTTTTTCGAAATGGGCGCGACCAATTCCTAAACTGAAATAAAATAGTCCTAGATTCATTAGGTACAAAACGTTTATATATAACGGAGAATTTGAACACAATACATAGATTCAATCCAAATTCCACAAAGAATTTTTTCACAAAAATCAAGAAATGAACAGATCAAATTATAATAAAAGTAGAGCTGGGTAATAACATTTTCATATTGTGGAAGAATAAAATTGAGGAAAAAGTTCATCAATTTATGTTTACTACCTACTTAATAACAAAAAAAAAGACTTTCCATAAAACTTTACATAAAAGATAGTTTTGGTTTTAAAAATGTATGTTCTCTTAAAAACGCTTTCACCCACCTTGATTGATCAGGTTGCATCCATCTAATATTTAAAGGTTCTTCAGATTTTAAATTTATACTAGTAACTGGACCTCTTGGTTGGTTGAGATCACTTGGAGCTAAACCAAACATCCTAATATGCTGAAAAATGACAATTTGCATGAAAATTTATTTATTCTCAATGATTTTATTAGCTAAACAAAAAGTTTTGATTTATTGCATAACTCTAATCCGAATTTGTTTTTCTTTGTTTTAGGCTACATTTTTTTTTCTTTTTCCTTCAGCTATAGATTAATGCTTCTAAAAATATCTTTGATTGATATTTCAATGTTTTAAACGCAAATTTATTTGATAACAGCAACAATGCACAAGAGAATTAGATATAATAAATAGGTAAAAGAAATTCAGTATATATTAAGATATGTGTAGAGAAAATTTATCCTTATGTTGGATTTTTTTACCACGAGGGATTTCTCGAGCAACACTCGAGTAACAAAAAAATTCAGTATAAATTTCTGTTTAGAACCCTAATAGCGAAAAATATATACAAAAAGTAGGAAGCAAGTGAGTAACATGAATTTTATGAAAAGTTACAATCGATGAACAAATTTGAATTTATCACCCTCTCACAGAATTATTAAATAAAATTCTCGAATTGAACAGATTTCTCAATCGTAAGCTCAAAAGTATTTTAAAAAATAGTTTACTATTTCAGATAATCTGAAAATTAGAAAGAATATTTAAAGAAATTGTAATTCAAATTTAGTTAGATATGAAAACAGTATCCCAATAGTTCTAATAAAATCATATTGCATGCAATAAAATTATTTACATGTTATTGTTTCCTTTCATTTAGAGATTTAGAGATTCAAAAATTAGCCTTTCTTCCTTATTCTATTAAAAATAGAATAGCTTCCGTTTTAACAAATTGATCATTCAATTTCAAAATTCTTTTCTAGAGCAAATCTCCTCATCAAAATAATTATTTCAAATTGTTATTCTTCACTTTTGTAAAGTTTTATTATTAGTAAGTTATGAGTCGTTAGTGTCATTTTGAATAGCATGTTTTTATTTTAATTTCAATATTTTATATTTCATTTTAGAGAATTTAGATATTAGAAATATTTAATATTAGTTAAATAGTTAGGGTAAATCAATGTATCATAATCTTTTTTTTTTCAATTTTTTTTGAAGTTTAGTCTTATTTAAATCAATTCGAATTATTTAAAACTTTAAATCAACTTTCATCTTTTCTTCTTCTTTCTACAAAGTCTCCAACTTTTAAAAAGATTTTTCATATCTCTTTTAAATATTTCCATAGTTTTTTACGTTTACAATTATTATTAGTAAGTTTTTCCTCAATAATTGCAACATTAATATTTATTTACCACAAAAAGCATTATGATTAATTGACAATAACTTTTTGTTTTTCAAATATATCTGATGGGCCAATATTTTTAAAACTTTTGAGATTCATATTTTAATTTGATTTTGTCCTAATCTAAGTTTAGATTGATTTTATGTCACATATTTAGGAATATTTTTATTTGGAAAAAATTCTCATCATCATCTTCATCAATTCTTAGACAGGGAATAAAAAGACCCTCACCCAATTGTTTGAAGCAATCGTGAGGCAATGGACATATGTGTTAACCGACAATGACAACAACTTCCAATTTCTCGGGAAAAAGGGTTGTGCTAACTAGTCACTGCCGTCTTTTTTCCATCCTCCTGATATCTGAAGTGATGATGATATCAGGTTGAATCTTTAAAACAGAATCTTTTAATGAAACGATGCTTATACAACGAAATTGCATCTGAACTTATTAAAAATTTACTAGATATTATACTGTGGCTAGATAGATCAGATTTATAGTATTATCAATGTATGTATTGAAAAAATGTTATTCACATTTTGAAATCTTTACAGTATTTTTTATCTGAACTGTGTTCAACAATACATAAAAATTGTAAAGTATATTTTTATTTAATCATACACTCACGCACACACAAGCGTATGTATCTATGCAACAACTGCTCGAGTACGTACATTTATGTTCTTACAAACGATATAAAAACATTTTGTAGTAAAAGTTGGTTGCATATCTATTGAATGTTTTATTTGTATGCTTCTTTTTAAATGTTTCTGAACTAACAAGTGGTATTTTATTGGAGTTAGTACTTACTACAATCGCTTTTAGAATTAGAAAATAGAATAAACCCCATTCTTCATGTTATGAAATTAGTTTCTTCTCTAAAACAATAATAACATTCCAAAAATGCTACATAAATATTCAATATTATTAAAACAGTTGTTTATGAATATTTTCATAAACTTTAATTTTAACCGATGCTACGGGAATTTCAGAAAAATTGATAACTTTAATCACATCACACCTGTCGTCCTAACTCAAGGCTGTTTTCATAAAATTAATGTTTTATCCATAAAAAATGATTTTTAGTAACGTGCACTTGAGAAAGTTTGAAGCTACTTATAGAATTGTGAGGAAATTTGAAAATATGTATAGAAATAAAAATTTAAACTTATAAAGTCCCGAAAGGCAAATGGTTTATTGAAATTGAGAAATTGTTATAAATTACTCGTTCATCGAGAAAAATTAATTGTGACTTTAAACAAGCTATTTAGCTTAAAAAGTCAAGGAATAAAGGATATTAAAAAAAAATATGACTCTAAAATGTTAAAAAATTTCTTTCTGGAAAAGTTTAATTTTATTCAAATAAGCTAAATATGTCTCAATGTTATTTCTTATTTTAGTTTTACAGCATTCTGTAATATATTTGCACCAAAAATAAATTGTTTTATGATAAATTATTAAACTCGAAGAAATTAAATCTTTTAAGAAGATTTTTTAAAAATCTGTGAATTGAGATACAAAAAAACTTTACTTTAGGATTCAAAATTTATTAAAACATATTTTTATTATCTTCCCTTTTTAATGAATATTTAGGCAATAAGAAATTAAATGTACTTATACTTGTACTTAAAAAATATAATATTGAATAGATAAATTACTCGTTCTATTTCTATTTTAACTTGTCTTTATCCATTATAAATAATCATTGCCACGATAATTTATATTCCTTGGAAAATAATTTTAATTATTATCTTTTCGTTAAAACAGTAACTATATATTTCTCACGTTTTCACAAGATATCACAATCCCTTAGTTTCACAGGATTGTGGAAAAAAACTTAAGTTTGAATAACATAATTTTTCAAAGATATCCTTAAAATCACATACATTATAGTAGTTGTAACTTTTATTTTTATTTCGAAAAAATAAACTAACTTTGAAACTTTGACTTGGGCTACTATAACCGGATCCTCTCCATGTTTCTAGCTCCAATGTGGGCCATGCCGAGCTAAAGCTCGGAACTGGCTCGTCTGAACGCAGCGTGATAAAATAGTCACTTTCTTCAGTTATAATCCTGTATATCTTTTAACTTGGAATTATTTTTACTGTTTATTGATCAGATATTTCACTTTATAAATTGAAAATGGGTCTGCTTATTTCCTCTTTCTCTTTCACATTCTTAGTAAATTCATTTTTTTTTAATTTTATTTGATCTATTTCAATATTGTTAATGATTACAAAACTGCATCAATTTTAAAAATGCGACCGCGTGCTTCGATGTTTCCCGAGTGACTGAAAATACCCTACTGAGTAACTTACGTTTGCTGCGATTCAATATTCTAAAAGAAACGAAAATTAAAGGCGGTCGATACATTAGGGGTTCATTTATTTTATGTTGCTATATATCTCACAAACACATTCAAATGTTTGTGTAAACATACATTTTTTCCTGTCTACTGTAGCTTCATTTATACTTCATACAACTCCGTAAACAGAGTGTTTATTTACACTCCTTGTGCTTACACAATTTGTGTTTTACACAGTCGGTAAAGTGATGTTTCAATTCAATTTTTCTTACGTACCTAACAAGTAGGTATATTCATTCAGATGAAACATTTTAAATTTTTTTGTTTGTCTTTTGAGTATTATTCCTCTATATTTTATTAATTTGAAGAAAAAAATTACGTGAGGTCAATGAATCAGATTTATCAATAATTTTAAAACAAGTTACACTAATCCTTGCATAAATTAAGGTTCAATGTAATTTCTGTTGGTAGAATCTATATACCATATATATGTAGGTATGTATGCATATACCTTATATGTATCTGAAATATCTATTCAGTGAAAAATAATAAGATTAAATGACTTCTGCAAATATTTAAAACTAAAAATATGATTCTTATTTGATGTTTTGTTGTCTCACCCACCCCATCTTCGATTCGTATCTAATGAAATAAAAAGTTTTTATTTATTCATTTATTTATTTGTACATATTTGTCTTCCATAGGTGTTGAATCTGAAATTAATTAGAAAATTTGGGGATTTATCATTAATTATTCATGAAACTAATGAAAGATGAATTAAAATAAGATGATATGAAAATTTCAAGTTTTATTCAACCAAGTTTTCTTTTTAATTTTAATTTTATTTTTTTAATTTAATATGTATCATCGCCTGAAATATCATTCTAGCTCGTAGCATCGACCAAAATCTCCAGTTTCAATAGAATTTTAGAATAAATGAGATCAAATATTTCCGTAACGACTTAAAATTTGAAACAAACATTTGAATTTTTGTTCTAAACACTGTAACGTTACAGGCGCGACGTAAAATATTAACCGGGGAGAAGAAAATTACCCAATTCGACAACTAACATACACTATGATAAAAATACACTCCAAATGGACACACATGGCTATTGAAAAAAGTGAAAAAGTGAAAAACCTTTAAGTTTAAATTTTTAAGGAAAATAAGTAGATTTTGAAGTAATAAACTTAATATATGTGGAAAATATATTTCATAAAACTTGCTAATGTGAAATGTATTCTATATAGTGGTTTAAAAGTTGTTTGCTGATAAATTAATGACATCTTATGTGTAGATTTATATTGCCTATGTGAAATGTGTGAATAGTTAACTACTAATAGCATTAGCATCTTTCGAAGACCAAAAAACTAGTCAATAATCAACACTTCACAAGTGTTGTTAAGAAAAGGAACAAATTCGAATAAAAGTTAACACAGAAACTCTTAGAAAAAAAACCTAATTGATAAAAATGTAAGTTTCTAAAATTTTAACATAGAAATCAAGAAATATGCTTGGTGCAAAGGCAATCTCATTAGATTACGGATCAAATTCTCATATGTTCTTCCAAGCAGATATGATAGTGCTTAGAAACTTGTGAAACCGAGTAAACTTAACACTTAGAGATTTTTTTCGTTTTATATAGATTTAAAATGTATCTTATGTATGTGTTAATCCATTATTTAGATGTGTTCGGATAAAAGAAAATAAAGCCTGCTTTCATTAATACAGTAAAGTTTAAAGTGAGTCATTCTAAAAACTTTAAAATGTTATAGATGAAAAAAAAAGTTTTTAGTCTAAGTGCAACAAATTGAGAGTTGATAAATAGACATTCAGAGATAAAGATACAACTGTCAAAATATAGAGAAATGTTGCGATTTGTCTGTTGATAAACCTCTGATGTTTAAGCATTATACGCAAGCATGGCCGTGACACTTTAGAATTTGACTTTTGATTTGTTTTACTAATTTACTAATCAATTGATATTCTCCTACTGTACATAACTTTATACCAAGAACTGACTAATCCATAGTTTCTCTAATTGTAACTGCATATCTATTTGCTGTTTGTAATCAGTCTGTAATCTTACCTCTCATATTATTTTCGTAGAAAACTGAACATTGTCAATATTAGCTATGGACTTAGTTGAAATAGTTTGAATAACGGACTATTTTTGTTATTTTTTTTAAAATTTTTTAATTCTAGTTCTAAAATTGTTATTTTTTGATTTTATCAGATCTTTAAACAGGAAAACCTTTACAATAGCTTAAAGTTTATTTTAAATGGATATTAAAAAATTTTATTTGTCATCATGACGTCATAGCTGCTAATATGTCAACTCTAGTTATGAAACATTTTTTTTGTTCTTATATGACTTCTATAAAGAGATATTTTTAGAGTTAGTCTCGTATCAAAAACTCAAGATCAAATCAAAAAAAGAGAGAAGTCTCGGATCAAAAAAAGATTTTCTACAGCAGCTTCAAAATCGAGGAGACATTAGATATCATCAAAGCGCTAATAATTGAATTTCAAACTAAATTTCTTTCCTGTACTTTTAAAAACAGTTATAATTTCTCAAAATATTTTGTTTTCTAGTACCAGACATCGGTCATTTGTTTCTTCTTATAAGTCCTTTTCATCGTTGTTTTTGGGCAATAAATCTAGAGATAAACAAAATCACGCATTTATGTGTTAAAATTTTATAATTTTCTAACCTGAATTATTTTCCTAATTAATGCTAGAAATTGGAAAACTAATTGTAGCTAAAACTAACAATTTACTTATACTTATAGAAAAAATGCTTATCAACACTTCCTTAAAAATGTTCAGTTGCAGATCACATGATTTCTTTACAACTGCATTTGAATCATCATATTTCTTTATGACATATTCTTATTAATTATCTTTGATTTGAGAAACTCTTTTTGAACTAAGCCTCTAACTTCTTAGTTGAGGAATTAATAAAGATCTTAATCTCTTTTGTAATATTTAAATCAACTAAATTGAAACATGAAAATGTTTAATTGTTCGTTTATTTTATGTTGATTTATTTGTAATCATTTTAGATCATGCTTTTTAAAGATTTTTTAAGAAAATCCCATGATTACAGTTTGTCTTAATTTTTTTTTATTCTTTAAACATACAATTAAAATGTCAAAATAGTACAGAAACTTTTATTACCTCTGCATTCATACACATTTCTATATCAAATAACAAAGCAAATAAAGTTAATATAAAGAAATTCATAACAATTTTAAATTATCCACTTATCATTAGGTGTGGAGTATTTACTTAGATTATACATATAGGAATAATTTATGCAACTAGGTAGCATTTGCAAAAAAATGATTGGAATGGAAGAATCTATCTAAAAGGCCAAAAGTAAACATGAATACCTAATATAAATGAGAATTGTTTTTATTCAAAACTATAGAAACTAAATTAACTCACTTTTAAATATATTTTACTTACTTTTCTCATACCAAAAATAATTTTGATGCATCAACATTATGGAACAAATGAAGACGTTGTGATTGAACGTTCACTTTTCACTCTATTTTAACTTCCTGATGGTTGTAATAAAATGAATCTAAATAAATCTTTAATCTACTTAAAACTAAATATCTTCAAGTAGTAACACGTTAGCATAAAAAGCTTCAATTAAAATTTATGATTTATTGACATGGTTTCCTGCAAAAATTCATCTCACAAATGAAAATACTCACAACGTCCTACAATTTATGCGTTTGATATTAAACATATTGATAATAAGGATATAGCGAGAACATCTAAAATATAAAAATGTTCTCATTATTTTGTTATCTTTCGCTTATCATTTTAACACATATTTAAATTATAAATAATTATTTTACACATCTTTTTATCACATTGCAGATAAAATCTTTTTGTTATATAAGTCTAGGGAGATGTGATTGTCGAGATCTATATCATTTTGAAAATTCAGTTGTTAAGTTTATGTTCGTTCCGTTAGAGTGGTTACGAATTGTTACGCATAAATAAGAAATTGATTCAATGAATTATAAGGAAAAAAAATTAATAGCTTGATTATAAAAATTCTTCTGTAACTCTTGTATGGTTCGCAAATATTTTAATAAACAAACTATTTTCTAATGTTACATTTTTCGTATTCTCTTTTAGATCCTTTATCAAAATTTAATCAACATTTCAAATTGTTAAGAGGATGATTTTCAAGTTGCAATTTTGTTTCTATAAGCAATAATTAGGAATCCGAAATCTAAAATAAAAACCAAAGTAATTGTGTAATTGCATCCATAAATTCGATAGACACACACATATATAACAATGGCAACAATTGATGGAAGGCCAGCGAAGTATCGCATTTCCTTAAAAGAATTGCGAGAACTTATGGAACATCGTGGCAGAGAAGGAATCCAAAAAATTCAAGAACATGGTGGCGTTGAAGGCATTATGGACAAACTTTATACTTCAGCTGATAAAGGCTTAAGTGGAAATGCTCAGGATATTGAGCATAGGAGAGACACATTTGGATCCAATATTATTCCTCCAAAACCGCCTAAAACTTTCTTTCAACTTGTATGCGAAGCAGTTCAAGATATTACATTAATTATTCTTATTGTTGCTGCAGTTGTTTCGCTTGTTTTATCATTCTACAAACCTGAAGATGATATAGATGGTAAGATTAATATAAAATTTTCCAATGATTTTATTTTAGAATTACTTCATGCTTATTGTTCTCTTAGCTCCCGTTGTAGAAGAGGATGAGCATCACGGATGGATAGAAGGACTTGCTATTTTAGTGTCGGTTATCGTTGTTGTTATTGTTACAGCATTTAATGATTACTCAAAGGAACGTCAATTTCGGGGTTTGCAATCACGGATTGAAGGAGAGCATAAGTTTTCCGTTATTCGAAATGGTGAAGCCATGCAAATTTTGGTAGGAGAGATTATTGTTGGTGACATATGCCAAATTAAATACGGTGATCTTCTACCAGCCGATGGTATTCTAATACAAAGCAATGATTTAAAGGTGTGTATAATTCTAGAAATCATTAAAATTACATTAAGCCAAAAGAAAGTCATTAGGAAATTTATAAAAATATGTCATGTACGATACCGTTAAGTACTCAATCATAATTGTCAACAGAAGTATGATTCAGGAAAATATTGAGTGAACAATTTGTTAGTACATATATTTATAGCTCGATTAACTGATCGCTCGTAAATTAAATAACAACCAACTATCAATTACAATTCTTATTATCATCGTCAAGGAAAGGAGCACCATTTATTTATATAAAATATTCGAAAAATTGCAAATTTGTTCCAAGAACTAAAGAATGAATTACAAATTTTGAAAACTATTTACAAACTCTATGAAATATTTACGCGTACATAGCAATGATGACGAAGAACAATGTAAGGTAAATGCTCCTTGTTGAGTTATCTTAATGGAAAAGTTTTTAAAATTTTGGGATTTTAATTTAAGCTCAACAAAAGCAAGACCAGCTAAATTACCGAATTTCTAGACACTAAAAGTTCAACTTCACATTTCTCCAATTCACTCTTTACCTGTTTTTTATATTTTTCTGTTTTATTATTATTCGTAGTTAATTATTACAAAGATAATTATTCAAAAGACAATAATTTATAAATATTAAAATAATTTAATTAAAAAAATTATTTATTTCTGTGA